AAATTCAGAGATACTGCACAACTGAATTACAGGGACATAGAGGAGTGATTACAATAACGCAAGTGTAAATAGCAGTGTCTATAAAGCACAGCTTTCTTTAAAAATCCATTTGAGAGTAATTTTCCTTTTACCCTCGGGGAAGATCAATACTAACCATTTTTCAACTCTCCATATGAACAAAAGTATTCACAAAGAAAAGCATTGTGACAAATGTTCATCTATTGATGGGTGGAAGACATCCAGCTCCCAGAAGAGCCGTTGTGTTGGTTAAACAGGCATGAAGAGTCTCTTCCTGGAGATGTGCGGCCCAAAAACACTGGGTGAAAAACAACCCAATTTGGGTTGCCTTTAACCCAAGGGCTGGGTAAATATAGGACAGATCACATGTTGGGTTAAATTTACCCAGCGAATTGAGTTTAACCCAGCGTACTGGGTTGATTCATTTTTACTATAATAGTAGCTTTTTATTATTATTTTACTTCATACATGAATTATTACTATTATATAATATACATAGAACCATACAACCATTGGTTTGCATGCCACTCTAAAAATGCTGGGTTGTTTTAACCCAACTTTGAGTCAAATATGGACAAACCCAGCCATTATGTTAATATTTTTTTTATTACATTTTTAACCCAACGTTTGGGTTTGTCCATATTTGACCCAAAGTTGGGTTAAAACAACCCAGCATTTTTAGTGATAATTCCTTTGTTTTTTATCATATTTTACAGTATGGCATATTTTGGTAACACTTTATTTCGATAGTCCACTTTAGACGTTCTACTAACTATTAGTAACTTTTCAACTACATGTCAACTAACTCTCATTAGAGTATTAGTATAGACTATCTGCTTAATATCTGCTAACACTTTATTTTCTTGGTCCCTCAACAGACATTCAACTGACTATAAGTAAATTGGCGACTAGAAGTATTCTTCAACTTATTCTACAAACCCGAACCCTAACACCTAACCATAACCTAACAGTCTACTATAATATACTAATAACAGTATTGACAGTTAGTTGACATGTAGTTGAAAGGTTACTTATAATTAGTAGAACGTCTAAAGTGACTATCGAAATAAAGTGTTACCCATATTTTATATAGTTTTGAATACATAATGCATACATTTAAGCTTGTTTAACTTGTATTAGAAGTAAAAATGTAACATTTATAAGTAATTAAGTGTAATGGCCCTGTCTCTGTTGTCCTGTAACGCACTGGATCTCGTGCCGTGTTCAGCGGAGGAACTGAAAACTTCTGTGACTCCATAACCTGTCCATAAACGAAAGTGTAACTTTCCAAGCATTTATATTCTGTATCGTGTTTTTTTTTTTTTTTTTTTTTTTTTTTGGATAAAATCATAAAAGTTTATGCAAGGCAACAGACGTTTCCATCACACGAAAAGGCTGACGCAACACTCGTTTAGGAAACTCACAATCGCGCCCCCTGTACAGTATGTTGCTTTGCATTAATGGGCTTTATGCCCAGCTGCACTACTTCCTGAACTTCAGCCAGCTCCTTGTTTCCTGTCTGCAGTTATTGGCCAAATTGATTAATCCAGGTGTGCCTGACCTCAGTTGTCATGGCAACAATAATCAGACACACCTGAATTAATCAATTTGGCCAATAATGGCAGACAGGAAACAAGAAGCTGGCTGAAGTTCAGGAAGTAGTGCCGCTGGGCATAAAGCCCATTAAAGATATACAGAACAATAATGAATTTATAAATACGAAAATGTTCTCAAACCCGTATTTTACCGACAACACAGAGCAAATTTGCACTGCTCTCTCCTGAAGAGGTCGCAAAAAAAACAGGGATAAATAACACAACTCCTGGTTTGTTACGTCTGACCCAGGAGCTGGCTAACACAAAACACAAACACTGAAAAAGTAACCCCAAAAACTATTTATCAGCGTGCACCAAGCAGATGTTTAGATGTTCATAACATCAGGCAGTGTACAGGGTTCAGAAGGCTGTGTTCCTCTTATTGGCCATCGCTGCTCTTTAACAGCAAAACCTTCTTTATTGAAGCTGAACATCTCATGACTTATTTTTATCTCATGATGATTTCATAATTTTTTCGCCTCCCACTGCTGATTAAAATACCCTTGACCTGAGAAATGGAGTGCTTCCTACTTACATCTCCACTTCAGTTTCCATGTTCTGTATCTGAAGAGCAAGGCTAATCTTAGCTGTGGCATTTTGCTTTTCTCTTCTCCGCATCTTCCAGCGCTGCTGTGAATGCCAAGGTCACGGAGAGGTCACAATACCCCTCAGAAAAAAAGAGAGGAAAGAGCAGTGTTTGTGTGCATATGTGCATGTTAGTGTTTCAAGGACAGTGGACTGAGAAACGATGAAGCTTTTGCTGCATTCTAGTAATGAAAGCAAGGTTGAGACTCCTTGATATATGGAGAAATGTGCACACACACACACATATAGATGACATGGTATGTGGACAGGGTTGTCCCTGGAAGTGGGGAAAAATGGGTGCTGATACTTGTTCATGTTTATATACTGAAAGAGAGAAAGAGGGGGAGAGAACTTTTTAATTTTAACAAGACTTATTAAAAAAAAACACTCTTACACCTCAGTATAAAATAGTAAAAAACTCGCAAAGCATGCATAAAAATCAATTCACCCTCAAAAACAGACCAAAGGCTCGTTACACCATATACATTCAAATTAGAGAACATCATCAATAGACTCAAAATAAAGGAGAGAGAGAGAGAGAGAGAGAGAGAGAGAGAGAGAGAGAGAGAGAGAGAGAGAGAGAGAGAGAGAGAGCTTATTTCCTAAACATGTCACATTACTCATGTCTTCTAACTTCAAATTTAATATATATATATATATATATATATATATATAAATAGTATATTCTTACAGTTTAATATGTTTGGGGTCAGTAAGATATTTGATAAAACTAATAGTTTTATTAAACAAGTTTTAAATTGGCTCTAAAACATTTATACTGTTCTCAAATAAAAAAATGGATCACTGTTTCCACAAAAATATGAAACTATTTTCAACACTGATAATAATCATAAATGTTTCAGATCATTATATTGTGATTTCTGAATGATCATGTGACACTGAAGACTGGAGTAATGATGATAAATTCAACTTTGATCACAGGAATAAATTACACTTAACTAAATATTCACATAGACAACAGCTAATGTACACGGGAATATATTTGAAGAGTTCAGATGCAAAAGCCTCTAAGTGCCATTTGAAATTTTCTTCTAGAATGATCATTTTTATCAAGCTTGTATATTTAAGTTCAGTAATTTCACTTAAATGACAATTGATAGGTAATCTTCATCCCCATTTAAGTGAAATTAATGAACTTAATAATACTAGCTTGATAAAAATGATCATTCTAGAAAAAATTTTTAAATGGCACTTAGAGGCTTTTGCATCTGAACGCTTCATTTACTGTTTTTGATCAAATAATTACAGCCTTAATTGGTGAGCAGAAGAGACTTTTGTAAAAACACAAGAAATCTTACACCGCAAACTTTTGAATGGTAGTGCATGATTATACCGTATATCTTAATTGCAGCAGGTACAGAATTGATCAAAGCTGAATTGTTCCTAGTATTGTGAAAAGCACAGCACATCTAAAACATATGAAAATACTAAAAAATAAAATTTTGAAAGAAAAACAAATACTGCAAAACACATGATCCACTAACTGTAACAACGGTCCACTGCAGACAAATAAATCTGGGAAGGATTTCCCCCGAGGTTTGTCAGGTACAGCCATCCGGTCCATAAAGAGGACCACTGTAGAATTGTCTGGATTAGAAATGAGGGTACAATTTAGAATACGGTTCCTTCATTAATGAATAACTACACAAGAACTAATGAGTAACACAATATTAACAATCTAGTAACAAAGTGATTTGGGCTTTTAGTCAGAGGGACTATTTTTGTCAAGCTGAGAGAACTCATTGCCCATTGCAACAAAGCAAGAAGAGTTACAACAACTTCAACTTGAAAAAAGCGCGGAAACTCGTTTATAACTCACAATAATAATTTCAGTTAACTTTAGAAAATTAAGGTTAAGGTGGCCATTTCAACCAACACGCATGCGCCTGGAGTGACGTGCACGTGCAATGTTGAACTCTGAAAATCTGAGCTGACCGCCATCTTTTTTCCTCGGAGCCGAGCCAAGTAAGTACATTTAAAATTGTTTTAACTTAGTTGAAGTTCATCTGTTGGTAATGTACATTCCTCACCTAATCTCTTTCCGTCTCAAATGATCCGTAAACATAACCTGTGAATTATATAACTTCGTAGGTTTCTGGAAATACTTTAGCAGGAAGCTTAGCTCAGCGCCTGAGTGTCACACCAATTATTTAATGTAGGGTTGAGCCTCATATTCGACATTTACAAGTATTCGGCACGATAATATACTCTTTTACAAGTGAAACGGTGCGAGGCCTGTCCACATTATTATGGAAAAATGTGTGAACATTAAACCCGGGTCAACCCGCCAATCATGTACGTAACATCGCGACTCCTACAAGATGCTCGCACTCCATCAACCTGGCACAGGATTAACGTAACAGACAGTGAGATAACATTGCAACTCATGGTCCGTGTGGAAGAGGGGTCCAAACCCGCCGTAGTGTATGGACTATATTTTTAATGTTGAGTTAGATGCGTTATATGAAGTGAAAGGTGTTTTTATTTTTAATGTGCGTAGTAATATGTGCCGTTACGCGCAGCAGTGGGGGTCGCCAGCTGGAGATCAGACGTGGGTTTTTTGCAAGCGGGGAAGTAAAGTTTGAAGAGTTACAACAACTTCAACTTAGATAAAAAGCGCGGAAACTAATTAAAAACTCACAATAATCCTTTCAGTTCACTTTAGAAAATAGGTCGTGGCCATTTCAACCAACACGCATGCGCTTTGAGTGACGTCACACGCAGTTTTGAAATCTGAAAATCTGAGCCGACCGCTATAATTTTTCCGTCCAAGTAAGTACATTTAAAATTGTTTTAACTTAGTTCATCTGTTGGTAATGTGCATTTGTCGTCTAATGTTTCTCTGTCTCAAATGATCCGTAAACATAATCTGTGATGAATATTTCATGTTCGTTAGTTATTTGAAAATACGTTAGCATGTAAGTTAGCGCCGGAGTGCTACAGCAAGTATTTAATGTAGTGTTGAGCCTCAAATTCGACATTAATAAGTATTCGGCACCTATTATGTACTGTTATACAAGTGAAACGGTGCGAGACCTGTCCTCATTATGGAAAAATGTGGGAACATTATACCCGGGTCAACCCGCCAATTTACATGACGTCGCGACTCGTAAAAGAAGCATTGCTCGCACTCGATCATCCTAGCACAGCATGAACAGTGAGATAACAGAGCAACTCGGTCCGTGCGTAAGAGGGGTGCAGCAAACAAAACTATATATTTTATGTTGAGTAAGATGCGGTATCAATACGAAGTGAAAGGTGTTTTTTTTTTCATGTGTGCCGTTACGCTCTGTATCAATGTCAACGCGCAGCAGTGGGGATGTAACTTAACGGTCGCGCAGCCCGGAGATCTTTAGACGTGTTTTTTTTTTTTTTTTTTTTGCAAGGAGGAATGTTAAGTATGAGAACTATAGAAACTCACATTAATCCATTTAGTTTAGCCGTCCAAGTAAGTACATTTAAAACAGCCTCTCTTCAACTCGCACCTCCTAAGACACCATTTTGAAAAAATTATGTCATACTACATGAAAAATATTTATGCAATCAACCCAATTTTGCTGATAACTATTGTATATGTTTTTATTTCTTTCTTTGTATTTTTTTCTGTACAGGGTTACTTCACTTCAGTCTAGCGCTTCACTTCAGCACAGCTCTGTTTGGGGCAACTGCCCTTCAATGAGGTGGTCCTGCAAGTGTTGCAATTTCTCCTCGCCGAACCAACGCACACTAATTGTCCATTATAAGCTGAAGCACTGTCATCAGGCAAGGAACTATCCTCTTCCCTGTGTCTATGCAGACTGTGTGTGCTCCTTTAGGACAGAATCATCTCTGAAAAAACATTTAACCAGAGACCATAGTCAAGCCCGTTCAAAGCAGGTGACTGCAAAGTAAAATTGTGAACTGTGCAATTTTTCAGAGACTTGTAGTGATACACAGTATTTTACACATTTGAAAATACACCTACACAATAAGGAAACTGTAAAATGTCCCTTTAAAGACTGTAGTTTTCAGTCGAGCGTATACAGTACTTTTCGTGCACATAAGAGTAAGAAACATAACCTCTGTACCGTTGACAATTTTCGAGAAAACCTGTATCAAACTTGTATTCAAGGCACTTTAAACTCTGAAAGTACAGACTTTGAGACGCATTCAGACAATTTAGACTTAACAGATGATTTATTAGAGGATCAAGATCTGCATGATTTACTTGAACACAAAATTGCAACTCTATTACTGCGCATGCAAACAAATTTGCATGTGTCCAAAACAACAACTCAGGAAATAATAAATGAGCTTTGTAGTATTAGCTCATTTAAGAGTGCACACCAAAAGTAATTGAAAGTGTACTGATCAAGCATAACTGTGCAGTAAACAGTGCAGTCACTGCTGCTATAACCGAGATAGTTAAAGAAGTAAACCCCCTAAGTTTCTTGTCAAAAGATGGGCCTTTTGGCTCTGAATACAAAAGAGAAACTTTTTACAAGAAAAATTTTAAAGTCATTGAGCCGATTGAATATGTTTTAGATGCATCTTCAAGACGGAAATTTGTTTATATTCCGGTTTTGAAAGTCCTGACAGAGCTGTTAAGTCGTAATGATGTGTTAGATAAAGTCTTGGAGACAGGACATGTTGAAACAATTGAACACTTGACCCAGTACAAAACATACAGAGATGGTCTATATTACAAAGACAATAATTTGCTCTCTTCAGAAGATCTAATGCTTGAACTGATATGAATTACATATTTTTATTTAACTACTTAAATCATAGTAGTACATACTGATTTGTTAAACTCATAGCCTTATTACTTCACATGTATGAATTATCATGAGAACTTAGCAAAGCCATGACAAATCAGTCTGATGTAAACATTAAAAAAACTTAACCTGTCAGCCAATCTTCCAGTCTGAGGACACAGTTAATATTAATGAAATATGCACCTTGAGACAGGTCTCCACTATACGTCACATGTCTGACAACATGTCGGTTTGGTTGTAGTGCTGAAATGTGAACATTTAGGTGACTTAACTTGAACTAAAACTGTAATGTTACTTCTCCACATAGATCGCCAAGGAATTCACCAGGCTCACATCAATGGACATCAATAAGTTCTATGAGGGTCTGGACAGCCATCTGCATAAACTGCTTCAGTTATTCCGGTTGAAGCGCTTCGAGGAAGTTCAAGAAATGACTTCCTTAATGGAGAGTCTCGATAAGGATGTAAGTGCATATTTGTTGTAGTTGTGGTCCACAGTAATTGTACAACCCCACTGAGCAGAGGGACCAGGATGTAGATTATGATAGACGGTAAACCTACTCTTATTAAAGGACAACTCCGGCGCAAAATGAACCTTTGGTCTAATTTAGGGATGGGGCCGATCCGATCCAGTATCGGGACCGATACCAGCGTAATTCACGTATCGGATTTTTCCGATCCAACTTGCGGAGAAATCCAATATTTATTATGATCCCTGTCTGCGCTTTAACGTTGTCTGCTGAAATGACTCCAAAAGTGATTCCCGCCGGGCCTGCTAGTCTGCTAGCTGGCTGCAAACTGGAATGGATATCCTGAACGGAGGTGCAGCTCAATCATAGACTGTAAAAAATAGGGCTCAATGAGACGCACAGACCCCGCTCAGGAAATCCATTCCGCAGTTTGCAGCCAGCTAGCAGGATAGCATTGAGCTACCAACATGTTCGCTTTGTGGAAATCCTATGGTGGAAATACTTCACACTGGAAACACCGCAGCAGAGCAAAACAACAAAATGCAATGTTTGCAAAGCCGTATTAATTAAACTATTTGTCTGTGATGTATGTTTGTAATTCGCAGTCCAGAAGAGAAAGAGAGAGAGATCTCTCACGCGGTGCCACAGCACGCACAACACGACAGCCCTGCTTTCCTTGTACCTGTCTCTGGATTCCCCTCATAATAAAGCCTGCGTTTGGATCACCTCTGTCCCTGTTCCACGTGCAGTTTCATGACAATAACGCTAGTATAACGCTAGTATATAGGGCATAGAGTAAAGACAAATAAAAATTGCTTGTTATTACTACTAACAAGGCTCAAAATAACCCCACACTAAGACGACAGCATAATAAGGGTCCCTATGCTGTCGTGTTACTGTGGTGCTATTTTGAGCCTTGTTAGTGGTAATAAGCAATTTTTATTTGTCATTACTCTATGCCCTATTGCATTATACTGGTGTTATAGGCTAAACTGTTTTTAGAGATAAAACTATTTACATTCGATAATCATGAAAACAAGTCTCAGATAACGGTTGACTAGGTAACAATGCGTAATTAGACAAAAGGTTCATTTTGTGCCGGAGTTGTCTTTTAATGTACTTGGAAAGGCACTTTGATACAGACAGAATAAATAAGAAAATGGCTCTGTAAGATGGAGTAGATGGAGAGAAGGCCAGAGTTCAAGTTTACCTCTTTGAACTGAAAGCTCTTTTTCTGTCATTTGATGGTTGACAAAAATCAGTTCTGATATTACGTATTGTTTTGCAGGCATCAAACCAAAGGAAGAGAGCAGCTGCTTTGCAGGGACTGCCATGGTACATGAAGGAAAATCCTTCTACATTGCTGAAGAGATGTGAGGTAAGCAGGAAAATATTGTTTAATGATACAAAACTAGTTCACAATGGGTATGGTTACACATAATTTTTTCAGGAATCCTCTGTGTGGATACACTATATAGCAAAACATGTCTAAAGCACAGGCACCTTTTTGTTTTTGTTTGTTTTCGCATGAAGCCAACAGATCCTGAAGAGGACTTCATCAAGGGAATGGTAATTGGAATCCTTTTGGTTGTTGAAGATGTGAAGGAGCCCCTTCCAGTTTCCTACAATGATGTTGCCATTGTCATTGAGGAAAAGATTGTCTTGCGTCATCTTGCTGATGTACCCAACGCTGTTGTGAACCTGATGGGCCTGCTGTACATGCTGAACCTTGACTACCCAAAAGAGATGAAATATACTTTTGAGGTGATTCAACGCCTGTTCATGGGAATCGGGTCTGAGGCGTGCACTCCCAGGGTATATTCTCTAAAGAATAAACTGCTCAGTTAGATGGATGGCTCAGGAGGATGTTTCTGTATTTGGCCATTTACTATTAATTTACAATTTAATATCCACAAAAATGGACTGAATTAAATTCTGAGTTATTGTTTTTCCCCAAAGGAAGACTGCATTTATTTTAATTTATTATGTGTGGAACAGTATAATTTCAGTTTGTGTGCAGCCCCAAGCAAAAGTGTGTTAGAGGGTATACAGGCAAAAATTTGAATATGTCCCAAGGAAAGTCTCAACATCCATTGTCACTTATTGTAAAGCAAGGCTGGTTGAGGTTGGACTCGTTGGTGTTTTAATAAAGGTCCTTATTGAATTGTCTTTTCATCTAGTTTTTTCATGTGTTAATATTTAAGTTTGACTGGCCAATTCTCATGTAGATTTTTTGTGGATATTTGCTTAATTTTTTTAAATCTAGCAGTTTCTGTAAACTCAAGTAACTTTTCAAAAGAGCATGAGAAAAAATAATAATGTTGCTCTAACTTAATAAAATAAGTTAAACCAACATATTTTAGTTCTCTCAAGTAATGTTTTCCAGTCCACATTATTTGATCCAGAAAGTTGAGTCAACAAATTGCGAGTTGTATCAATTATGTATTCCATGTTGAGCCAACTTGATTCAGGAAGTTGAAACAACAGACGGCATGTTGAATCAACTCGTGTTTTGAAGTGTAAGAAATTTGACATTATAAGTTGACTCAACTTAACTCAGTCAAAGCAACAAGATGACTTGACTTAGTTAAGTTGAGTCAACTAATCGTTTTTTACAGTGTATTATTAACGAACAAGAAAGTCTGATTAACGAACTAGTAAGTAATAGCGCACAGACGAAAGTGGTAGTTCACTATTAAGTAATCAATAACTACTATTTTTTAATACTTCCCAGAGAACTACTGAAAAAGTTTATTAATAATCTAACTACTATTAACTAAAAGAAACTCTTATTAACAAATTAGTAAGTAATAGCTCACAGATGAAAGTGTTACTAGTTACTTCTGTGGGAATTACTAATTATTTGGATCCGTGTTATAAAGTGAAGATCATTGGAACTAACTAGTAATTACTCAAGTGTTACTACATGATCTAGTCATGATTTGTGCAAATGTTTGAGATTTTTTGGTGAACTTTAGTAACTTTTAGAAAATGTCTTTAGTAACACTGAAGTAATTACTAGTTAGTTCCAATGATCTTCACTTTATATTAAATTTTCATTATCTAGTAACACTTTCATCTGTGAGCTATTACTAACTAATTCGTTAAAAAGAGTTTATTTTAGTTTATAGTAGTTACTAGATTATTAATAAACTTTTTCAGTAGTTCTCTGGGAAGTATTAAAAAATAGTAGTTATTGATTACTTAATAGTGAACTACCACTTTTGTCTGTGGGCTATTACTTACTAGTTCGTTAATCAGAGTTTCTTGTTAGTTAATAATACTTACTAGAGTGTTAATATTGTGTTACTCATTAGTTCTTGTGTAGTTATTCATTAACGAAGGAACCGTATTCTAAAGTGTTACCGAAATGACAAATGAACTGGCTGGAGGTTTGAGCTCCTCAGCGTGTGTCTCGTACATCAGTTTCCAGAGAGCAGCGGTGCCATTAGAAACACATCGGGCCGGTTCCACTCTGTCTGCAAAACCAGCAGCACTCCGGCTCCCCGACGCCAAGACACGCACACACACATACACACTGTCCATCCGTTTCCCAGCAATCGGCCGCGGACCAGCAGGATCAATACTGTGGCATTAAAGCTGAGGAGCTCAGAGGCCTGTGGATGACATATATATATATATATATATATATATATATATATATACATACCGTACAAGGTTATTATAGTTTTGCATTTTTAAATTAGTTTTTATTTTAATATCATTTTCAGTTAGTTTCATTAACGGTTTTGTTAGTTTTAGTTTAGTTTTTATTTTATTTTGTGAACACTTTTCTATTTACTTTTTATATATTTCGTTTCAGTTTTAGCTTTATAATTGACCTTATGCACAGCTGCACTACTTCCTGAACTTAAGCCAGCTCCTTCCTGTCTGCCATTATTGGCCGAACTTGATTAATTCAGGTGTGTCTGATTATTGTTGCCGTGACTACTGAGGTCAGGCACACCTGGATTAATCAATTTGTCCAATAATGACAGACAGGAAACAAGGAGCTGGCTTAAGTTCAGGAAGTAGTGCAGCTGTGCATAAGGTCAATTATAGTTTAGCAGAATTAACAGAACACTTCCAGTTAAAGACATTTCATTTCAGCAAAGTTTAATGTTTGCAGTTTACAGTTAACTCTTGTGAAAACCTCTCAGTAATAATAGAAATGAATTAATTGTTTGAGGATGAACAAAGAACCAAACAAATGCAACGAAAAAGTATTCATTCATACTCATTCATATTAAAGGTGCTAAATGTAACTTTTTTTCTAAAACGAATCCCGTTTTTATTGCCTGTGTGTGAAGGGGTTGTAATCACACATTACGATGATCCACTTGTCGGGTTTTGATATTACCTCTGAAAGCCAGTATTCATATTTTTTTGTGAAGTCTCCGGGTCGGATTTTCTGCGAAAGTCATCAGATGTGACGTGCATGCGCGCTCACGAGCCTCTCTATCCTTGTCTATGCGACGGCACTGCACCGAACGACATGTGTCTTATAACAACCAAAAAATGACCTGCCTCCTGCACAACACAGACTCCAACACACACTCCACAGAAATATATTTAAAAAAAAAAAACGAAACAAAAATCTCAGTATCTGCTGAAGCTCGTCAGGCCAAACGTCAATCGGATCGACTTCAAACGTCAAACACGGATCAACATCGGCAGAGCGTTTGAATTATGGAGAGACCTCCGCTAATTTTATTGTGATAAATTAAAATTTTTCAGATATGCTGAAATAATGGTGAACTGTAATGAAATAGCAAGGTAAACTACAACATACATGAGACATGAAATGAACACAAAAGACTGTTCCAGGATAACAAAAAGTAGGTGCTTTAGGACGTAACTTTTATTATATGCACTAAATCTACTGTCTAATGTCACTCATCCACTACTATCACATTGTCTATAATACACATTTTCAGACACGTTCAGTACAGAACTGAAATGAGCATGTAGCATTAGTTCAGTCAAGCTGATAAAAGTAGCCTATTACTGTAACGTTGCAATGGGAGTTTACCATAGACAGTAAAAGAAAGGAGTTTACATGTGTTTCCAGCATGTTGTGTGATGCTTTCTCCGGTGTGTGTAAAATCTCAGTGTGGCCGTGTACCGTGAGTGATCGCTCTTGTGTTTGATCACGAGCGCTCTTGTAAAAAAAAAAAGGTAGCAATCTAAAACACCACCAATAGAGGCCGCTAAAAAATCCATATAGCACCTTTAAAGATGAAATCTTGTTAAACCTGGTGTATAAGAAAAAGAAAAAATATATAAAAAATGATTGTGATTTTAACAGTAAAAGACTAAAAATGCTACAGTGAAAAACTGTTAATTGGTTAACAGAAAGTTTCCTTATATACGGTTAATAACTGTGATATAAATAATGGTTCATTTAATGTAATTTTACTGTAAAATACTGTTACATTTATAGTTTTTGGAAGTGAAAAAGAAGTCATTGTATAATTTACAGTGAAAAAAATGTAAATTGACATTCCCACAATTCCCTGTGTGACACTTCACATTTAATGTATTTTAGCTGTTTCTTCATAATTTTCTTAGTTTTTTTTTTCTAATGAGTTATGTACATTAGGGTTTTATGTTACATTTGATGCTGTTAAATTAATACTTGTTGCATTTTTTTTATTTCAACATGTTACCATGATGGTGTTTAATGTTTGTGTGAATGACACTGTAGCTTCTATATAGTATGAACTTTCTTGTGTCAGAGCTGATTATGATGAGCTTTGATTGATCATGACTCTCATTACGGCTGTGATTGTTGGCTGTCAGTGTATTACAATTGAACAAAACAGATATTAATACTTCAAAAGGTTAGTAAATTAACATTATATCAGATATTGAAATAAGGTTTATTGCTGTAAAATTAAAGGGGTGATGAACTGAGAAATCAAATTTTCCTTGAGCTTTTGACATCCAAGAGGTCATCATATTATAAGAATATCCTGTAAGTTTCAGAACTGAAAACGTCCTTGTTAGTCCAATAAAAGCTTTTATTGACACCAGCCTCTGAAAACGACTCATTTTTAAAAGTGGGGAACTATGACGTCGAATGGGTTACAACACCACCCCCGCAGAAGATCAACACCTACTTCAACACGAACTTTAGCCCCGCCCACCGATTCGCACATTACACGCATAGCTAAGTAGCATAGCTAAGTTAAACTCATTATAATATGCAAAACTGTTATCCACTCACAGCAGTGGGCGTTTATTTCCAAGTCTTCAGTGCGACACGCCCATAAAAACCGACCGTTTTTTTTTAATCTTTATTTAATAAGAAATACACTTTACAGACAGAAACTACATGCTTATACGTACATTCATCCTCACATTCATACCCCAGAACATACATGAGAAAAGATAGACACACTTTACAAATATATTACAACAGAAGAATAAATATGATATGAAAAAGATCGGAAAAACTACAAAATTTCATATAATTGTAATATACAGAATATTACTCCATTGTTTATTATATTCATCCATTCTATTTTTACTTTCTGCTATTATCTTTTCCAAACGTTTTTCAGGAAGGCTCACAACTTGGTTACAACATAGCCTATTACTTATTCATTTTGATGTTTTTGAATGCAAAAACCAAGCGAACGTCATAAATTGACCTTAGACAACAATATAATAAAATTTAAAAAGCCAGTTCATGACCCCTTTAAATGGTCAAAGTCTGTAAAACCTAAAATTTTGCTACTGATTTTTTTTTTTTTTACAGTGTATGATTATTCTTTAAGGTTATTTCTATGATCAATCCTTTCAAATATTAATCTTGTATTGATACATTTATGTTTTTTGTCTATTGCATTGTTTTAAATCATAGTTATACTCATATTCAAATGTTCTATTTCAGATAGGCCTACTTCTACTCTGACACAGGTAGCTTACATCTAGACATGCTATTTGTTTTGTCCGTTTTGTCTAACAGCCTATGTGTGGGATCATGTATGGTTTCACATGAGATGGTCATCTTACCTGGAATTAAAGGTACAGCTGTATTTGCATAAAGTCTAGTCATGATGGAAATATTTATTTGGCCATTTCTGCTTCTTAGCGCTGGTTTACACAGAATGCGGTTTTGCTTTGGAAAACAGAAAAGCCGCGGGCCGCGAATAGGGGAAAGA